ATTATGATTCATAGTACAATAAAATAATCATGATTGATTAGTACTGCATTAGAAAAATAATCATTATACATACAGTAAAATAAACACTAGAACGGCTATGCATATATCTTCTATCTATGTGTTTGCTATATTTCATAAACAAATACAAAAACATTAATTGAATGCGCGAATTGATAAAAAAAAATTCATATGTCACCAAATTAATTTTGGTACATGTGATAGATGATTATGCTTATAAAAAAATTACTTTCTAATTAATTCATTTAGATTTTTTGAGACTCGTGCTGATAACGCATTATAAACTGAGAAAAAAAAGAGAGAAACCAATACACTTGTATGTTTTAATAAGAACCAAAGTCCCATATTTATAAAGAAGGATTATGGATATAATGTTAATAATTTCAAGGACTGTATGAGTACAATTATTATTTACTAATAAATTTACCATTTACAATATAATTTTATATTTAACATAGGAAGAAAGGCCAATAGGGGTTTCAGAAATTTTCAAAACGTGTCTAAAGTCCATCTTTTTTCCTTTTCTGCTTCAAAATTTTTTATTTTCTTTTCGTTTTTATTTCGAATGAAAGTGAGGTCATAGTAGGGGATTGCCACTTTCAATCTTCTATTATTTTTGCGTGCTATTTGACAGAATTAATAGAGATATTGCATGAAAACGTAAACCATTCATCTGGACTGATGCGGTCAATAAATCAATGGTTGTTGTGGAATGTTGCAAAAAGAGATTTTGGAGGCAAATATGTCATGGGAGTCAAAGGTTGGGGACGTTTGAAGAAATTTATCCTTAATTAAAACAAGGGCGCCAGTGAATTGGAAGGCAACCAAAACAAGGCATCCGGTTCAAGTCTTCTTCTCAGCACCTTCGGCGGCGACTCGGCGGCGGCGGCCATATGGTTTTAACAGGTAATTCTTCTCTTTCTTCAATTTGTTTGCTAATTTCTGTTTCTCTTCTTTCCCAAATTGCTAATTTCATAATTATGTTCAGTGGTGCCCTTGAACTAAGTTTCTGGGGATTTCGGGTGCGAAATTTCTCTTAGCCCTTGTTTGGCCACCATTATAATGAGATTTTTTGAAAATAATGTATTTTGGAATGGTAATTTTTAGGAGAATGTGGGGTTAAAAAAGAAGAAACTGCTATCCAAAACAAAGTATGAATAAGAACGTGAATTGATTTCTACTCTTGACCGGTTGACTTGAAAGTACTTATCCTTTTCTTAATTTATTCCCATCTTAACTAGGGGCTTGAATGAATTATTGAATTGCTTCCTTTTCTCCAGAAACATTCGAGATAACCTTGCTTACATCAGATATGTTGATTATTATAGAGCTGCATTGCACATTTATTATGTAGATCATATATATGTTCACGGGTTCTTGTGTGTGGAAATTCCTGAACTAACTTCAATTGATCCATTGGCTGTGCAAAAATAAAGGATTTTTAATTATATTCCCCCCTTGATTTATTAAGTAGCTAGTGGTATAAATGATAAAATCTCCTCTGTTATTATAAAGAAAATTATTAGTGGAGTTTTAATTATATTTACAGTTTTGAATTTATGAGAATTAAGATTCAGATTGGGTTAGAAATAAAATCTAAACGTTAACATAATAATGGTTTGTTTAAAAGAGTGATAGCACATGGTATTATTAGTTATGATTTTGCTTCCTTGCCAAAAGTTTTTACAGAAGCATTATTATTGCTAAACATTGTGATAGAGATTTCATTGAAGACCAACAAATTACACTCTTATTCTAGGCGTAAAAACGGAGAGTACATTATAACTTATTTCTTTAATTTCTTGTCATTTTTTTTAATAACAGTGGATGTCCAAACTGGTTTGCGTGCACCTCGACTAATCTCATGGGGCCCTGAAGTTTACGGTCGGGTACTCACCTCAGTGGCCCTGAGGGGACTCGAATTGGTGACTATTGAGGAGCAAACACAAGGCCTGACCAATTGAGCAACCTCTCATGGTTAAGTTTTAATTATATTTACAGTTTTGAATTTATGAGAATTAAGATTCAGATTGGGTTAGAAATAAAATCTAAACGTTAACATAATAGTGGTTTGTTTAAAAGAGTGATAGCACATAGTTTTAGTTATGATTTTGCTTCCTTGCCAACAGTTTTTACAGAAGCATTATTATTGCTAAACATTGTGATAGAGATTTCATCGAAGACCAACAAATTACACTCTTATTCTAGGCGTAAAAACGGAGAGTAGATTTTAACTTATTTCTTTAATTTCTTGTCAAAATTTCTCCATCAAATTACACTCTTATTCTAGGCGTAAAATCGGAGAGTACATTATAACTTTTTTCTTTAATTTCTTGTCATAATTGTTAATCAAGTTGGAGAAATTTTCACTGCAACTAGCAGCTGATTGTTGCTGAGGCATCTCAGGAAATAAGCTTAAAGATGGAAGGGTTTGGGAAGCTGCAGAAGTAACATATTGTGGTGCATAGTGCATTGAAAAGATCCATGCCATCAAACTTCCCAGATAGAAAGCAAAGAAAAAGTTAGCTAAGCTGCCAACATTTCTACAACAGAGCATTCAGAAATACATAAAACCCGGTCTTAAGAATTCTTGAAGTTCAAAATCAGGACACAATGACTGGAAGCACTGATGAAAGAACCACGAGTTCATCCAACTGCTGGAAAATCATTCACATTCCAGACAAGCCTCCCATTCCTCCTGACAACCAACCCACCATCAATGTGCATGCTGCTGCAATTGAACCTCGTCATGCCAATACTATAGTAAGGAAGTTAAATCAGATTGCACCACTAGAAAATCTCCGTCATGTGAAGCGCGTGCACAAGAGGTGTATGGATGGAGGTACATTTGAATTGTTTGTGGTTTTATGTGTGGCTTTGGAAAATGATGGCAAGTGCAACAATATGCCAGAGGAAGTTCTTGAGCTTGTAAATTTGAACCAGTTGAGTACTTTCATCACAAAAGTATGCAGATATGCTGCATCAACAAAGGAAGAATGGGAAGGACAATGCAAGCTGTGGCCAACTTCTTTCCATCCACCCACCTACAATATTGATGGAATAACTGGATTTAGTGAGGAGGATTCACAGTCAATTTTCCGCTTCATGAAGTTTGCAGTTGGTTTGGCAAAATATGGTGTTGGCTCAGTTGTCAATGCTGCTGTTATTGTGGATCCTTCAACAATGCAAGTTATTGCAAGCTCACGAGACCAAGTCCTGTCTTGTAATACTCTCATAAAAAGGAGCAATGGAGAAACATGTTGCTCAAGGCTTCCAGAAGCAACTCAATATGAAACCATTGAAACAGGAGATCGCCAATCCTTGCTTTCAAAATGTTCGTCCATTGATGCACTTACATATAATCGTGTTTCTTGTTTAAATCCTTGGAGCTGGCTTGAACACAAATTACATACAAGTTCTGGTTCTTGGCATCCTTTACAACATGCAGCAATTGTGGCAATTGAAAATTCTGCTGCAAGGGACAGGCATCTTTTTCCGGGAGATGGACACATCTCAGATGAATTTGTTCGCGAGGACTATAAGATGTCTCCAACAGGTTCTCCACTGAAAAGACAAAAGATCAACCTTGCAAATGTAAACGATGAAGAGAACATGAACTGTCAGAAAAATGAACTTCGTTTTGACTCAACCAGACCTTATTTATGCACTGGTTATGACATCTACCTTGTGTGGGAGCCATGCATAATGTGTGCAATGGCACTCGTGCATCAACGAATCAGGCGAATATTTTATGCGTATCCGAATTCAAGTGACGGCGCTTTGGGAAGTGTTCACAGGTTGCAGGGGGAGAAAAGCTTGAACCATCATTATGCTGTTTTTAGGGTCTTAATTCCTGAAGATGTCCTAAAAGGCGAAGCATTAGTTGCAATAGGTGCTGATAATTATTAAACTCCAATTCAGGTTTTGTAGTAGTTCCATGAGTTTTAGGGAAGAGAGTATGTTGTGCTGGAAAGGATATTTATCTCACACAATGGTTTATTGAGGAATAATTGTAATTCATTAAGGATTAGATTCAATAGAATTCAACACTTGTGTACCATCCTTTTAGGGATATGGGCTGTTACACGCAGCAAAAATAGAACAGATTTTGATTTTCTTCTATTCTGATTTCTTTTATTTTCTTAAAGATAGGACTCTATTTTTTTTTCTTTCGAAATTTGTTTCCGACCCTTCTCTTCTACTAATTTTGCATCACTTGGTAGTCGAGTTTACTCGTTCCTGTGATTGACGTCCTCTAAAACATTGTAATACAACTTCATTATCAAGAAAATTATCATTAATGTTGTTAATAATATGCTAAGTCCAGTTCTTGATTGGCAGAGATTCTTTAAAAGACATTTTTTTTTAATTCATTTTTAATCTTAAATTCTATGAATAAAATAATTTTACGTGTAGATCTATATCTTCTCTATTTTATAACTACACATTCTATAACAGGCTCACTTTTCACACACAATTGTTATGAAAAAATCTACATCAAACTCATTTTAACTACATATTCTATAACAGAATCACTTTTCACAAACGTCAATTGATTTGAATGGATAAAATATATGTACGAAATTAAAATTGAAAAAAATGATTGTTCACATTCAATATCTTAAATTAATAATTTTTTGATCAATTAATATTTCGATTTGTTATTAAAATTACATGTCATAGTCAGCGGGTTGAATGCTCAATTACGTGTTTGATTTCATCATTTGTTCCTCTTTTCAAAATTTGCAATCAATTACGCCAAAGACAAGTCGTGGTTGGAGTCCCCACTTCCCACTAGGCTGATAAAAGGATTAGGTAATGGGTTAGGTAAGATGCGTAAAACATATATTTACATGTTTGGTGAAAATTAAAAGTTGCTAAATTTTTCGAGTAAAGTCAAGAATTTAATTTTCATCCCTTTTCGAGAGAGAGATGATTGTCTATTTAGCATCAGCTACTAATGGTGTTAATATAGTAGGTGACAATAGTTGTAATATTAAATCATATATTCAATTAAATGTTAATACTATGGCCTATTTAATAGAAGAGTAGTGCTATATGTCACTAGTGCTGATCGTCCCCACGTGATATCGCATTAAATGATAAGACCAAGTAGGTCTACGTCCATATTACATGAGAATGATATTCGCTGGAGACGAATGACATTATTCTTAATAGAATCTATAGTACGCTTACATCTAAGAGGGATGTTAAAAACTACTAGTGTGTGTTAGTATTATCCTATTTCAACTCTTTATTATGAGTATAGAAATTGTTTACCAAGCATATCAATTAATTGATGTGTTATGTTATTATTACTTAGACGATACCTAGTACCAATGGTGTCTATGCGTAGTTTACGTGATACTACAGTCTACGGTCAAGAATGTGTGTGTGTGTGTGTGTTAACTGATTGTAGACAGTGGATCCCACTGTCATTCACGTATGTGTTAATTGATAAACAATATTGGTGCTAATAACTAATTATATTCCGATGTTATGTATTTTTGTGGTGCTCGACACTTTGTCCAATGATTAGATGCATCTTCATTAATTAGATAACGAAGTGATAAGGTTGAGTGTCAACTAAACTAGTACGGAATACCATTTATGATATATAGCCTTATTATTCATACTATTTACTCTCTAAATAAAAATGTATAATTTCATGGTCATTCAACTTATTTCAAATTTTCAAGTGAATAGTTGAAATTCAAAATTTATTTGTGTAATTTTGTTTTAATAAAGTATTTCCGTTCAAATCCATTACTATTAAACATTCAAAATTAATGAATTAATTTATATCAGTATATTAATGTGTTGCCAATTACACATAATTTGTGGAAAATATTGATATTGCTACATGCCATTTCATTGAATACCTTTTTTTAATTACTATCACTTTTATTACACATTCATAATTAGTAATCACTTATTATCACACTTAATAACTAAATCGAACAAGAACAGTGTTATTTGCAGTGAGTGACGACATGAGTCGTCCTACGTGACATTCTACATGTCACGATTTTAATAATTAAAAAAAAAAGAAACAATAAAATGAATTTTTATATTAATAATAAAATAATCAAATGTTCAACTGCGAATAGCATAACTCATTGAACAAGGGTAACATAGATGTGACACAATATTAAAATATGACATGGACAGCAATGGCCGTCGTCAAGAATTACAAATTTCCTAATTTGTAGCATTAAAATGTTGTGCCATGTGGGTACGTAAGTAATTACGTATAGCGCCCTAAAAGATCAAATAAGATAAAGATATTTTCAACAACTTCAATATTCAAGCAGTGTTTTCTCATTTCTCGATTCCTCTGTTACAGCAATAATTCGCCGGCTGTGTATAATTCTCTGTTAGTCTCACTCAAAAACTATATCGCTCTTTCGCCAAGAATTTTTCTTTAATCTTTGCTATCTCATTGTTTTATATATTTTGCAGAAGGAACTCTTCAATTTGATTTGTAAAGAAAAAAAATTCAAGAAAAAATGGCATTTGAAAAGATCAAGGTGGCCAATCCCATCGTTGAGATGGACGGTTAGATTCAGATCTCCCACTTTCAATTCCTATTTTCTGATCATAGATTTATATAAGTTATACAGATCTGGGTTTCTGTTAATTCTTGTTGTTTTGCCTTGTGCATATGAGTTGACTATAGATCACTTTTTATAAGGTATTCTGCGTTGTAGGCTCAAATTGTATATCTTCTGTTATAGGCTCAGACTGTATTTCTATTTGCCTTTTGGCTTTGCCTGTAAAAGCTGATGGGCCAATGTTTCTATTTTGTGAGATACTTTGAATTCCATGGGATATGTTCTATGCACAAGTATCACAATCTGCTCTGTTTTACTAATAAATATCTGGTTTTTCAATAGAATTCTGATGAATTGATTGTAATTGTATCTTCAAGTGAATTAATTAATTCAATACAATGCAATGAGTAATTTACAAACTATATAGAGTACGTTTGGAGTAGTGCACAAGTAAATTCTCAAACTAAATCACATGTGAGAATCAATATAGTTATAACAAATCAAAAGTGGTCCCAAAGGTGTAAGTTAGCAGCTCATGTTTGGCAGGAGCATTTTAGCTGTTGTGCTGATGATAAGAACGTCGAGCTGGAATTATCCTCTAACTCCCAGCTTGTCTTTGAGAAAAATAAATCTGGATTGGGAGAGAGGCTTGGTTAGCAAATCTGCCACTTGATCAGAAGATGGAACATATTGTATCTTTAGCTTTCCTTCAAGTACTTTATCTCTTACAAAGTGTATATCTAACTCGATATGTTTCGTGCGTGCGTGGTAGACTGGATTAGAAGCTAACGCGCTTGCACTAAGGTTGTCACACCACAATGTAGGAGGACAAGTAGGATGCAATTTGATCTCTTTGAGTAATGATTCAATCCATGTAATTTCAGCAGTTGCTTGTGCTAAAGCTCGATATTCTGACTCTGTGCTGGACCTAGCAACAACTTGTTGTTTCTTTGAAGACCATGCTACCAAGGAGTCTCCCAAATAAACACAATAACCTGCCGTTGATCGCCTGTCATCAGGGCAGGAGGCCCATTAGCAAAACCAGTAATTTCAATGTTGTCACTTCTTTGAATCCAAATTCCTTGTTCAATTGTCCCCTTCAAGTATCTGAACACTCTTTTAACTGCCTTCTAGTGTACATCTGAGGGTGCTTGTAAGAATTGGCTCAGTTTATTCACCACAAACATTATGTCAGGTCGTGTATGCACCAGATATTGTAAGCCACCTATTGCACTTCTGTATAGTGATGGATCTTCCATCTTTTCTCCTTCAGTTTTAGAGATACTCCTGCCTACCACCATGGGTGTGGCACATGGATTTAGATGTTCAAAATTAAACCTCTGTAGCAATTCCTTGGTATACTTGATTTGAGTAAGTTGCATTCCTGATTCATGTCTTGATACTTCAATTCCTAGAAATTGGTGTAACTCTCCCGTGTCTTTTAAGGCAAACTGAGTATTTAGCTTATCAATAAAGCTCTGCAACATATTGTGATCATTACCAGTTATCAGGATGTCATCAACATACACCAAAACAAAAATGACCTGCCTCTGATTCATGTAGAAGAACAATGAGTTTGTTTGCCTTGGATCTGACAAATTGCCATTCTAAAAGCGTGCTCTTTAGCTCTTCATACCAGGCTCTTGGCGCTTGCTTGAGTCCATAAAGTGCTTTTTCAAGTTTGCACACAAATGTAGGATTTCCTTCATCAGTGAAACCTTGTGGCTGATTCATATACACTTCTTCATCAAGCTTCCCATTTAAAAATGCATTATTTATATCAATCTGCCTTACACTCCAGCCTTTTGACACTGCAATAGTGAGGATTATTCTTACAGTAGAAGCTTTAATTACCGGGCTGAAGGTCTCATAATAGTCAACCCCTGAAGTTTGCAAGAAACCTTTCGCAACAAGCCTAGCTTTGTACTGAAGTATCTTTCCTTCTATGTCACGTTTGACCCTGAAAACCCACTTGTTTCCTATCACCTTTTGATCAGCCAAGTGTGGTACCAGCTTCCAGGTTTTGTTTCTCATCAATGCTCCATATTCTTCCTCCATTGCTCTTTTCCAGTTTCTACTCAACAGAGCTTCAGATACATCATTTGGCTCAGATTCATCTAATTCCATTTCATACTCTTTGCAATGGGTTGAGTAGATTTTTGGCTTGAAAATACCTGCTTTGCTTCTGGTAATCATAGGGTGTTCTATTATTTCTTCCTCCAAATTAGTTCTCAATGCATTGTTTTCTACTGTCTGAACTGTCTGATCAGCTAGAATTTGATTAGTATTTGTCTCATCTTCATTATCCCCAACTGGTATATGTTCAGTCTGTGATATATTCTCAGGAATGTCTAGCTCTTCAGAACCTTGAGATGTTGCTGGAAGAGTTGCACTGGAGTGAACTGCATCAGTTGAGCAACCTGAATCACAGTTGAGTGAGGCTTGGAGTGGGAGATATTGAATGATGATTTCAGAGTTTTGGGAATTCTTTGTTTTGTTGAGAAAACTAGATTGAAAAGGAAACTCATGTTCATTGAAAATTACATGCCTAGAGATGTAGATTTTTCCACTTGGACTGAGACATTTATATCCCTTAGGAGAGTTGCTGAAACCCAGAAATACACACTTGACGGAGTGAAAATTGAACTTATGTTTCTGATACGGTCTGAGGCAGGGAAAGCAAGCACAACCAAAGATTTTAAGAGATTTATAATCAACCTGTTCATTGTTCAGAGCTTCACAAGGTGATTTCATCTTAAGGACTGGTGTTGGTAGTTTGTTGATAAGGTAAGTAGCTGTATGAAAGGATTCCCACCAATAATGCAAGGGCATGTGGGCTTGAGCAAGTAAAGTTAGTCCGGTTTCGGTTATGTGTCTATGTTTTCTTTCGGCTCTCCCATTTTGTGCTGAGGTGTGAGGGCAGGACTCTCATGTCAATTCCAGATTGCAAGGCTAAGTTTCGAAAGACTCTGAATTCACCTCCCCAGTCTGACTGGAGAGTTTTAATTTTTCGATTGAACTTGTTTTCAACTAAAGCTTTGAACTGAATAAACAGGTTGATAGAGTCAGATTTATTTTTCATAGGATAAATCCAAGTGTGTCTACTATAATCGTCCATGAATAAAATATAGTATCTAAAACCAGACGTTGATTGCACTGGAGCAGGACCCCAGACGTCAGTATGAATAAGATCAAGAGGTGCTAATGCGTGTGAGGTTGATTGTTTGAAAGGAAGAGAGTGTGATTTTCCAAGTTGGCAAGCATCACACAGATGATTAACTTCATTAAAATTGATTTTTTCATTACATTGTTTGAGTACTTGTGACATTACAGAGTGTGAGGGGTGTCCAAGTCTCATGTGCCATAGTTTAAGAGAAGACTTATACTGTCCAGTAACTCTAGAGTTTTTGGAAACAACAAAGGAGGGATTCAACTTATTTGAATAAGCAGACTGGTGACTATTTGGATAGGCAGATTGATGATAGGAAGACCTCTTAACTTGATCTGGATGCTCAAGTTGATACAATCCGTCCTTACGCTTCCCTTCCAGCAGTACCTCCTTCGTTTGTAAATCCTTGACAACACAAAAATCATGATGAAATTTCATAAACACATCATTATCAGATGTTAACTGTGATACACTCAGCAGATTTTTCTTAACTGAAGGCACAAGTAATACATTATTCAGAAATAAGGGCTTGTTATTTAAGGTGTTCAAGTGATTAGTGCCAACGTGAGAAATGAGGAGTTTGTTTCCATTACCAACTGTGAGTGTTTCCTTACCACCATACTTATGTGCTTCAGCTAGGTTTCCTTCCTCGGCAGTGACATGATGGCTTGCTCCAGAATCAGCAAACCAGGCTGGATCTGTTATAGTACTTGAAGTAGCAACAAGTGCAGCTGGTACTGAGATAGGTTTAGTTCGCATGTACCTCTCATCATAGCGATTGAAGCACTTGTCTGCTGAATGGTTGTTCATACCACAGATTTGACATGGGTTTTTATTTTCAGATATCCTCATAAATCTACCTCTACTACTTCCTCCTCTGTTATAGTTGCTTCTTCCACCATAGTTAAACCTACCACCTCTATTTGGAACTGATCTGTGAACATAGTTAGCTGAGGTATGACTCAAGTTGATTGAGGCCAAATTGTTTTTGATAGTGTTGAGATGTTCAATTCTGCTTTCATAGGTCATCAGTACAGATTGAAGCTCGTGCCAAGAGATAGATTCTCTACTATTAATTTGAACCACGATGGGAGTGTATTCCTCATCAAGTCCGGCCAGCACTTGGGTAACAAGATCAGATTGAGAGATTCTTTTTCCAGCAATCTCTAAGTTGTCTGCTAGTTGTTTAATTGTATTGAGATATTGGTCAATACTCATTAATTCTTTCCTTGTTCTTTGAAGTTCACTAATGAGGAAAGTTACTCTTGACTTGTTCAAAACTCCAAAACTCTCTTGGACAGCATTCCAGAGATGACAAGAGGTTGAAGATCCCATTACTCTCATAGTGATTTCAGGTGTCATTGATGAGTAAAGCCAACCCATCAATAACTGATCAGTGCTCATCCATTTGCCATACTCAGCATTAGGTGTCATTTCAACAGTTACACCAGTAGATCCATTTGTCTGTGTTGCAAGGAATTCTGCTGGACACGATTTTGATCCTGTGATGAATCCTTCGAGGTTATGGCCCTTAATGATGGGCATAACTATATTTTTCCACAACAAGAAGTTGTTCCTGTCAAGCTTAACAGGTGGGACTTGGGTGAGACTAATTCCAAATTGTGGCATCTGATTTCCTCCCAACAATGAAGGTACCAGGGTGCTTGAAGCTTGTTGTGCTGACTGCTCATTTGATCCGGTGTTAGCCATTCTGAGGCTCTGATACCAAGTTAAAAACAGCAAAGTATAAGAAGAAGGAATTCTGATGAATTGATTGTAATTGTATCTTCAAGTGAATTAATTAATTCAATACAATGCAATGAGTAATTTACAAACTATATAGAGTACGTTTGGAGTAGTGCACAAGTAAATTCTCAAACTAAATCACATGTGAGAATCAATATAGTTATAACAAATCAAAAGTGGTCCCAAAGGTGTAAGTTAGCAGCTCATGTTTGGCAGGAGCATTTTAGCTGTTGTGCTGATGATAAGAATATATCTTGACTATTTCTATTTGCCTTTTGGCTTTGCCTGTAAAAGCTGATGGGCCAATGTTTCTATTTTGTGAGATACTTTGAATTCCATGGGATATGTTCTATGCACAAGTATCACAATCTGCTCTGTTTTACTAATAAATATCTGGTTTTTCAATAGAATTATTTGAAAGATAAAGTTTCAATCTTTTCAAATAAATGTAGAGTTGAAGGGAATTCTCCTAAGAGAAAATGGATTATGGGAGTCTGTGACTTGAACTGTTGATTGATCTATGAAGATTATTTTTTATATACTTTGCCCCTTTTGGCCCCCAATTTTTTGAGAATAGAATTTGTAAAAAAATGACTTATTTATTTATTTATTTTTTGGAGGATGTGGGGCTAAAAAGTGGGGAAACTTTTTGGGTTTGCACGCAAAATTTTTTATTGGGAAAAAAAAGTGCGGTTGAAATGAGTTTGCGCAAAAATGAATTTTTAAGAATGAATAGGGGCTCAAGGATGTTTTGGGGTTGCTTATAAGCTGTTAAATTATAAATAAATAAAAATGGATAGTGGATAAATGGACAGTACTTGTGGGTCCCACGAAACATGGGGAAACAATTTATAAATAGTAACCAAACAGGGGCTTAGATTCTGATCTTGATGATATGATTCCTTATGATCATTTCCTGATATAATTGCCTTTTGAAATTAATCTGTGATGTAGGAGATGAGATGACACGGGTCATCTGGCAATTTATCAAGGACAAGGTAATAAAATTCCTGTAATCTTTTTCAAGAATTTTCATGAAATATATGTCGACTGACTCACTCACTGGCTGAGTGTGTTTATTTATGATGTTGCAGCTGATCTTACCTTTCGTGGAGTTGGATATAAAGTACTTCGACCTTGGCCTTCCCCACCGGGATGCTACAGATGACAAAGTAACTGTTGAAAGTGCAGAAGCTACTCTTAAGTAAGTTATACCTGTTTTCAGTTATGAATAAATCTTGGACATTTGATAATAGGATTTTGATGGACATTATTATATTTCCTCCTCTTCTAATATTTACGGTATTCAAACAAAATGCGCGTCTATACTTTTTTAATATTCTATCACAATTTTCATAAATATATATTCGTTCTCCTCCGTTGATGGGAATTTTGTTTGTTGAAATCATAGGTACAATGTAGCAATTAAGTGTGCTACCATCACTCCTGGTAGGCATGACTTAGCTTAAATTGTTCAATGCTATGCTGTAGATCTTTATCATTTTATCTTTAAATTATGAATGAGATTATCACGCCACTAAATTTTATATGTATAGATGAAGGTCGTGTGAAGGAGTTTGGTCTGAAGCAGATGTGGAAGAGTCCAAATGGGACAATTAGAAACATTTTGAATGGTAAGGGACTGTAGCTCATCTTCTTTTATTTTGTAAGCGTTGCAATCCTTCTTTGTGGCTCATCATAATTTTCTTTCCCTGCAGGCACTGTCTTTAGAGAACCAATTCTCTGCAAAAATGTTCCCCGACTGGTTCCAGGTAATAGCTATTCCATTTTATTTCTGATTTTACNTGGAAAGCTAAAGTTGGTGTTTGGTATTGCTCTTTTATTCACTCTTCCCTCTTAGATAACTAACAACACTTAAATGTTTACTCCTTTTCTCTGTTCTTTTACAAGCAATAAGTAATCAAGTATATTTCATCCTGGGTATGTCTGTCTATTTTTATGATGATATCTGTTTTTACAAAATTTGTGTGCAAATAGTTATGTAATGAATAATTTAATTGTTATATTTTTATATTGTAATTCGGTATTGCACTTTTATTCACTTTTTTTCCTCTTAGATCACTCAAACGTTTACTTCTGTTCTTTGACAAGTAATGAGTAATTTGATTATTATATATATTTATCCTGGATACTTGTCTTTGTCTATTTATATGGTCATATCTATTTCTACAAAGTTCGTGTAAAAATATTTTTATAATGAATTTTATTCTACTTGTATACAGTTCCAGAAGGGAAGGATGAAAAGACAGAATTAGAGGTTTTCAACTTCACTGGTGAGGGTGGTGTTGCTCTCTCCATGTACAACACTGATGAGGTATAATATTTCAAAATTTATGGAGTTTTGACATCAGAGTATTTAATTGTGACACTAAATTGTTTCTTTAATGCTTATTGGTGGGACAGTCCATTCGTTCCTTTGCTGAAGCTTCAATGAACACTGCATACCAGAAGAAATGGCCATTGTATCTTAGCACAAAGAATACCATTCTCAAGAAATATGATGGAAGGTATGCAGTATGCGTCCTTAAACGTACAAATTTGTTATTTATAATATTTTAAGCTTAAACTGCTTTCAGATTCCTTTGTCTGGGCTGTTAGTGTTATTCTTCCTGAACATAAATCTAGTGGTGTTTTTGGGTTTAGCACGAGTCCTTTTTATGTGTGTTTTATCATGTATTCTTCACTTCAAATGTATTGATCATTTGTTTTTCTTTATGAAGATTCAAGGACATTTTCCAAGAAGTTTATGAATCAAACTGGAAATCCAAGTTCGAGGAAGCAGGGATATGGTGAGTTGTTCTACCTGTGATCTCAGGCAATCTGGTTTTATAAAATATTTCAAATGTCACTGATTGCTGCAATTGTATTATGAAATTTATAGGTATGAGCACCGCCTGATCGATGATATGGTTGCATATGCTCTAAAGAGCGAAGGAGAGTATGTTTGGGCTTGCAAGAACTATGATGGGGATGTTCAGAGTGATTTCTTAGCTCAAGGTATGAGTGACAAACTTTTAAATCTCAAGGCTACATTAAACATGCAAATGTCATATTATGCTCTTCTTGTGACACAGAGTATGGGTAAAATAGTATATTATTGAGCATGCCCTTATTTCATTTTTAACTTGAGTAGCTATTACAACCTCAAATTTCTCAATTGTATTCTTGCAGGTTTCGGATCTCTTGGGCTGATGACATCAGTTTTGGTATGTCGATTCTCTTCGATGAATTTTATCTTAATTTTGCATTTCCTCATGTTCTATTATCATTTTTGTTACTTTGCAGTTTTGTTTCCATGTTTGATGTAATGCTCAATCTTTATGGTTTTTCTAGTCTTTTTCTTTTGTTTCTGTACTCTTAACCCCCAATTTTATTCTTTGCATTGATCACTTAATAGTATTCAACTTTAAAATTCGTACACATCTTCAGTTAAGAATCCAATAGATTTTTGGTTTTTATTCAGGTGTGCCCGGATGGAAAGACCATTGAAGCTGAAGCAGCCCATGGAACTGTCACACGCCACTATAGAGTTCACCAAAAAGGAGGTGAAACCAGCACAAATAGCATTGCTTCAATCTTTGCTTGGACTCGGGGGCTTGCACACAGGTAACTAGATTTGGTTTTGAGTTTTAACAAATTGCTATAATGAAATACATTATTAAATATCCTTTTTGGCTGTCCAGTTTATCGGCTTCCTTTGACCATGAATAAAAAACAATAACTAACAAGCAAGCAAAATGTTTAGGGCAAAATTGGACGATAATGCTAAGCTCTTGGATTTCACTGAGAAATTAGAAGCAGCTTGTATTGGTGTAGTAGAGTCTGGAAAGATGACCAAGGATCTTGCCCTTATCCTCCATGGATCCAAGTGAGTGACCATATCTTTTTTTTCAGTCAATACGTATCTGGTTCTACTCAATCATTGTATGATCGTTTATAATGTTACAGGCTCAGCCGAGACAAGTATCTGAACACCGAAGAGTTCATCGATGCCGTGGCAAATGAGCTCAAAGCAAAACTTTCTTGCTAATTATAAGCGTATGTGAATTTGCATCTAGTTTTGACATTTTTACTAATTTATTTGATTTACCAATTCATATTTCGTTGTTTTCCCTTCTCTGGTTCCAGGTCTGGAATGTCTCGAACGAAAATTATCTGGTGGTTGGGGATTTGCCAAGAAATGATTGGGTCACGGAAAGGTCTTGAGGGCAGAGGATTTTCCTGTTCAGGACACTGTTATTTATGATTTAATCTTCATTTAGCTGATGCCCTTCTCAAAATAATTGTGAAATGACAATGTAGAATAACTACTGAGACAGGCACAAGGTTTACATTGGAAGAAGCAAGAGCTTAACCAAAACCATTCCAAAACTTATATAATTTACATTGTCTTTCTTCTTTGTTCTCTGCCAGTGTCCTTTTGGTTCGAATTTTGTTGGCAAAGCAAATCAATTAATGATGCATATAACGAGTTCTAAAGTTGCCCTCACCCCCCCCCCCCCCCCCCCGGGACCACCCTTTAAGAATTAAAATTGAGCCCTGGGAGTAATGCTATTTAGCACCATACCAGTGGTGCTAAATTCTATGTTTAGTTGGACTTGTTAACGTAGTGCCACTTGGTATGGTGTTGTAGCACAAATAGTGCTAGATGGCATTATTCATTTGTTGGGTGTTTTCTTGGATGGTATAATATAGTTGTCCTTAATGGCAAGTGACATAAAGGTTGGAGAGCAAAATCATAAATAGCTTAACGTCTAACTTCTAACTGTGTGCCATTTCGATGCCTACGTGGACAATTTTTGTCATGTAGGAATCAGATCTTGAATTTAAATAGGTTGGGGATTCAAATTCTCGATTTTAGTAACTACTGAGATAAATGGGAACTTGTAAATCTTGGTTAAAGGGATCATGGATATTCATTATTGTTTGGAACACTCGTTGTTGAATGTTCATTCCATAGTGTTGGTGAATTGTTTCCTAAATCATTTATGATTCTCATTATTTGATTCATTCTTGCCTTGAATCACTCTTTGATTTCATAAGTGTTCTAGAAAAATTTAGCTCCGAGCAATTTTCGTTGAAGCGGCTCCACTTTACATTTACATAGATAACCTCCTATTAAGACTATACTGCCTTATTTCACTTGACTTAATCAAGATATAAGAATCATTAAAAGCATATTTTAATTTTTAACATTATGCATAAAGCACTTTAATTGTCTTAGGAATGAGTTAGGATTTTTTTTTTTCAAGTGATTCATTGAATCTTCATAACTTAGTTGTCAATTTGAACCAAGATCTTAGGATCTCCAATCAACAAGGTAAGGTTGTCATTACAAAGATTCTTACGTAGGTTTTAGTCCAATTCATTTCGATAGACAACGTACTTGATCTCTTGGTAAACCTTTCGTAAGTGGATCCACGATATTCTCTGTAGACTTCACATAATCTATGGAGATGATACCATTGGAGATCGGTTGTTTAATGGTATTGTGTCTACGACGTGTATGTTTAGACTTACCATTATATATGCTGATTTGAGCCTTTCCAATAGCTAATTGATTATCACAGTGTATATCTATTGAAGGTATCAGCTTATATCAACATGGAATATCTTTCAAGAAGTTACAAAGTAATTCTGTTTTTTCTCCAACTTTATCCAAAGCAATAAACTCTGATTTCATCGTTGATTGAGTTGTATACGTTTGCTTTGTCGACTTCCATGATACATCTATTCCACTAGTAGTAAATACATAATCATTAGTAAACTTAAAATTCTTCATGTCGGATATCCAATTCGCATCACAATATTCTTTTAATACCACGAGATATTTTGTGAAGTATAATCTATTGGTTAAGGTATACTTCAAGTACCTAAGAACCATTGTTAAAGTCTTCCAATGATCATGGCTTGAATCACTTGTAATCTACTAAATTTATACATTAGATTGCCTATAACCTCTGAATACTTTAGTTGTGACACACATTCACCTGTATTTTTGATTAAGTGTAAACTTGTGTCAATATGGTTTTTCACGAGACTTTTTTCAAGTGCATTATATATTTTAAGTATACTCTCAACCTAGTGAGATTGAGAAAGAATAATTTCTTCTGATGCTCTGGATATTTTAATCCCTAATATCATATCAACCACACCCCACCCAAGTCTTTCATATCAAAATATTTCGTTAACATTCTCTTAGTGTACATTATTTCGTGACTATTGCCCATTATCAATATGTCGTCTACATATAGACGTACAATCACATAGGCTTTCAGTGTGTCTTATGTATACACATTTGTTACACTTGTTTATCTTAAATCCATTAGACAACATTGTTTTATCAAACTTTTGATATCATTGTTTAGGAACTTGTTTAATCCATACAAGAATTTAACTATTTTACAAACATTTTATTTGTGATTAGGAGAGACGAACCCTTCGGGTTGTTCAATGTATATTTCTTCTTCTAACTCATCATTAGAAATGTAGTCTTTACATCCATTTGATAAATCTCAAGGTCATGTAATGCTGCAATCACAATTAACAATCTTATCAAAGTGATTCTAGTCATGGATAAGTAGGTATCAAAGAAGTTAAGTCCTTCATTTTATTTATATTCTTTGGCGACCAATCTAGCCTTGTATATGTCAATGGACCCATCCAGTTTAAATTTCTTTTTAAAGATCCATTTACATTTTAAAGGCTTATTTCCGGGAGGTAGATCAACAAATTTCCAAGTATGGTTTTGTATTATAGAATCTATCTCACTATTGATAGCTTCTTTTCAATGCAGTGCTTTCGGTATAAACATTGCTTCATCAAAAGTTTTTGAATCATTTTATACCATATATGTTAAAAAATTTAGGCCAAACGAAGTAGATATTTTAGCCCCTTTACTACACCTTGATTTTTTCTCATTTGAAGTATCATAAGTTCTTTTATTTGAACTTGCATTTTCCTTGCCTTTATATGGAAAAACATTATCGAAGAATGATGCTTTCTTGATTCAAGTATGATTCTTTCATGTACATCTTGAAGTTTAGATTTATGTACAAGAAAACAATATGCACTACTATTATTAGCGTATCCAATAAATATGCAATCAATTGTCTTAGGACCGACTTTCACTTGTTTAGGCTTAGGTACTTCAACCTCAGCCAAACATCCCCACACTTTCAAGTGTTGGTAGGAAGGAGGATGACCTTTCCATAATTCATATGGAGTTTCTTTCATTTTCTTATGGAATATCTTGTTAAGAATTCTATTTGTCGAAAGAATAGCTCCTCCCACTAGTTCTGGGGTAAACCCGAACTTATCAACATTGTATGCATCATCACTTCAAGAGTTCAGTTGTTACATTCAACAACACCATTCGATTGGCGTGAGTAAGGTACTATTGTTTGATTAATGATTCCATGCTCGAAATAATATTCGTCAAACAGTGCCCCGTATTCACTACATCTATCACTACGAATAGTTTTTATTCGTTTACCAAGTTGATTCTCAACTTCCGTCTTATAATGTTTGAATACATTTAAGGTTTCATCTTTACTTTATAGTAGAAAGACATAATAATACTTTATACAATTATCAATGAAAATTATAAAGTATTTCTTACCATATTTAGTTTGAACAAATTTCAAATAACACATATTGCTATGTATTAACTCTCAAGGTGTCATGTTCTTTTGAGTTCAGTGAAAAGGTGTTTTGACCAACTTTAATTAAACACATACTTCACATTTATGCTTATGATCAATCTTAAGCGTTGGAATTAAACTTTGATTCATAAGTTTGGCATAGATTTGTAAATAACGTCTCATTATCGACTATGCCATAAACAAGACAACTCAAGCATATAAATATAATTATAATTTTTATTCATAATGCCTTTTGGTATAATTGTAAGGACGTTCATTTCAAATATTTTTTCACTAAGATAACATTTACCAACATACATATCATTTTTGGTAAGTATGAACTTGTTCGATACAAATATAGGTTTAAAGCCGTTCTTGCTAAGTTGAGACCTCGAAATCGGGTTTTTGCGAATGTCTGACACGTGGAGTACATTATTGAGGACTAGTTCTTTCCCAGAAGTCATTTTCAATGTGATCTTTCCAAGTCCTTCAACCTTCAAACTTGTAGAGTTTCCCATGAACAGTTGCTCTCCTTTTAATTCATGATAGTTTGAGAATGTGGTCTTATTTGCACAAATATGGCGGGTAGTGTTGACCCGCCAGTTTCTTGAGTTACAAACCATGTTGCATTTAGAAACAACCGTAGATAGACTCATCTCTTGAACTCTTTTAGAAAGGGTCTCTCTTTCAACTACATTTACTTATGCAGTTTTCTTCGGCTTTTGACATTCGTTTGAACGATGTCCGATTTTTCCACAATTGTAATAGTTGCCTCTAATTTCTTGACATTCTTGGAGTTGTCTCTTCTTAGTGCATTACTGGAGATCTTACGTTTCTTGTTGACGACCTTCTATCCATTTTCAACAAAATTTGCTCGAAGTTGAACAATAAGATTTCTTTCGGTGTTTCTATTGTCTTTCTCAATCCTTAAACAGACTATCAATTCCTCCAAGTTCATCTCCTTGCGTTTGTGCTTGAGATAGTTTTGAAATCTCTCCATATAGGAGGGAATTTCTCAATGATGGCTACAACTTGGAAGGATTCACTCAATTCTATCTTTTCGGCATGTACGTCATGAAGTAGAACTTGAAGTTCTTGTACTCGACTTATCACGATTTTGGAGTCTACCATTTTGAAGTCCAAAAACTTGCTGACAACGAAATTATTTGTTCCAACATCTTCGGTCTTGTACTTCTTCTCCAGTGAATCTCATAGATCCTTGATCGAGTCCATCAAACTATACACCTCATAAAGTGCATTGTCCAATCCATTTAGGGTGTAATTTTTGCAAAGGAAATTCGAGTACTTCCATGCATCCAATGCAATAATTAACTCATGATTATTTTTTCCTTCTTGTACTGCATGAGCGGTCTTTTTTAAGAACTTTGCCAAATTCAAAGTAGTAAAATAGAACATCTTTTGTTGCCATCTTTTAAAGTCCACACTCCAAACTTTTCCAATTTTCCCCATGTGGAATATGAGAGTTTGGCGTAGGTATAGCCAAAGGCGGAACCACATGATTCATACCATTAGTTGGTCGACTTAAAGTAGTCTCAACAGTATTCATTTCTGTTACAAACAGAAGTTCAACGCACAAAATGAAAGAAAGGAATAACACAAGAATGTTTATTCCAAAGATGAAGATGAGTGATTAGTTTTCAACAAACAACCACAAAATTTTTTTGTCTTAAAAATTGTAAGTGAATTGCTTAGCGAAATGGTTGTTTGTTTAATTGACAAATTAATTGTTAAGTTTAATTAATAGGAGCGTAATTAAACTATGTAAATTATAAGAGGAAAGAAAGAAAGAGAATGAAAAGAAATCCGAGGTAAGTGATTAGCACTTTCTCTTTAAGACAAAATTGTCCCGCAACGATGTTAACGGATTATGACTATTTTCTCTCAAGACACAACGGATACCACTTGTGGTAGAAGCATTTCAAATTACAAGTAACAGCAAATTCTAAAGAAATTTTTTCCCTTTACAAGAAAAAAGATTTTTTGGAGAGTTTCTGTAAGAGATTTTGATGTAATGCTCAATGCAAATGATATGAGATACATATTGGACGTCTAAAAGATCCTCTGTATAGAAGATAAGAGGTTGTGAATGAAGAGTCATGCCTCAAAATTCAGTAACCTTCACGAATGGAAGCATTCCTTGCTGTCGCTAGCCTCTCACTCGAGCACTAGGCGAGTGGTGGAGTTAGGCAAATTCCTGGCCAGTTTTTGCGTCTTTTCTTTTCAATTTTGAATCACAATTTCTCATTCATTCGAAATTGATTTTGAGATCTCAAATATACTACAACGATCTATTCAACGAGTAGAATAAGTTAGTCTATTTATATTTATAATTTGACTATCGGATTAAGTCTAAATATTTAATTGAAATTGACTCAAAGTCACTTTTCAAGTTTTATACTCAACTAAAATTTCCAATTTGTAAACCAAATTCCAACATAAACAATATATCTCCATAAAACTTTACGAGAAAAAAAGTTATGTGGAATAATTTCAATGAAGGAAAAAGAGTGCACTCTTCTTTTGAAAATGCAAGCAAAGGTGTCTCATTAAAAACGTTTACAGCAAACTAGTATGACAGTAGTTAGATCAAGGAAAAAAGAGTATAGCACTTGGTTTACTCCTTCAATTTGTTCAGATAAACTTTATGTGGATCAGGTAATACTATCTTCATTACTAATTAGTTCTAATTTTCAATAAAGTCAGTCCCATATTAGTCGCTTGGAGATAACAAATTATGTGTGTTTATTTCATTTAGAGAAAAATATATTTTGCTAACAAATTTAACCAAAATTCTATATTAAATCTTGTTCTATTAGCAAAACATAATAATATAAATGTTGCAATAAGACTGTTAAACAATGATTTCCAAATTCCAAGAATCGGGCTCAATTTACCAACCAAATCACCACCCAATCGATCAACCCAAAACCTTCAAACTACTCCTCTCTTCGATTGCTTTCAATTGTAACCACTTAGGACACAAAGGGAAGGTGTTTTGCAGCCCCAAAGTCAGAGCCACAAAGGCTGAAGAACAATGAAAAGATGAACGAGACAAATTACAATCAGAAGCACAAACCACAAAGGAAGCAGCCGTGTCTCTCCCTCTCAATAAAGGGGCAAAACACACCTCAAAATGACAAAGCCGTGAAAAAGCAAGATATATAGGATCACTTAGGGTACAGTAATGGGCTAGCCCAACAAGAAGACAATAAGTGGGGCCAAATAAGCCATCCACTAAGTGAGGAACCAGGTCATGAACAACTCTAATTACTTAGACTGCTTCTAATGGCCACAAATGATTTTAGGGTCGAGTCATTTATCTTAAATGTCGATACAATACTTATCCAACATCGATTTTACATTATCCCCCAGATTTATTAGGTATCCAAAAACCCAACAAAGATGTGATATTTCAGAGCCATAAAGTTATTCGTCATCTGTCGAAGGTCAAGAGGGTCCTTTTTCATATTAAACGAACGAACCACCACGAATATATCATGCCCCTGTTTGATCCTCATTTTTTCCAAAATACATTTCACTCTCTTCTTTTCAACCAAATATTTTTCAATAAAATCATATTACACGCCAAACTTTTTCCTATTTTTCAACCACACATTCTCCAACAATCTATCATTTCAAAATACAGTTTTAAGAAAACATACATTTTCTAAATTGCTTCAATCCATTATAAGTCGCATAAACAGGTTGCAACCACATCCATTAGATGCTTCTCAAGTTTTTCTTGCATTTCTAGGTTAATTAGAAAGTATATTTGTATTCACAAAGTGATAATATGTACATTTCGTAGTCAATGTCCAGTCATGCACTCAAAAATGCAGAGAGAGAATTATTGAACTCCATTAAAACATTGTCTCCTTATTTCTTGTGAACTTCAACACTCATTGTTCTTGTCAGATTTTGTTATTTTTCTCTTGTATTACAACTGTTTCTCGAGCCCTAACTCAACAAACGAACAGAGCATGCACTTGAGATGCTTGCAAGAATGGGTTCATAGTGCAAATGACTTTAGATCTGGGAATAGCTCCAAGGAGAAAATGGGTTATCAGACACTCTTAGAGCAAAGCAGAAGCAGACCGTGAAAAAGGACTGTAATGCGCTTGAATCTTGAACACGGTGTTGAGAAGGTGGCACAAGAGCTGAAAATATATCTATTAATAGTTCAGTCAATTCATTAGCCTTCTTTACAGCATTCATGTTTATTGTATTATAACCTGCAGTTTCCCTAGGCATACAAACAATATATATGCTTGAGCATCCTCAGGCATTCCATAAATAAACACACTGGGCACTGAGGACTGTTTCCCCTCAAAACTGCTCCATTGCACGAAACACTTGCTGCGTTGTAATCTACACTTCAGGGATAAAATTTCCCAAATTCTTATTCTGGATGCAAATACATAACTGCTTCAACGAACACGCTATTATGGTGCTGTGAAAAGAGGGAATGAATTCCTAATTAGATTGCCAGCTGATGATGCTACTTGTCCCAACCTTGTTTTCAAAGAGCGTCTCACGCTATCCATATAAGAAACCAAGTCCATTATTTCTGTAGAATGAAATATGCAAGTTATTATATATTCCAGTTAATACTTAGCCAGTTAGGAAGCAAAATGATGTAAATTTCCTCACCAAGCAGCAGCCTCAATTGTATGTATTTGATGCCCATCTCAAATCTGGAGAGCGCAACAATTACAACAGAATCTGAAAGTCGAGGTATCAGAGCAATTAGTAAGCATAAGGAGATTAGTACACTGTTAAGCACACTTCCAAAATTGTCCAACATGTAGGTCGAAAATGCAGAAAGGTTGAAGTAAAGACTACAAGATAATCCCAAAATTGTAAGACAGAAATTTCAATACCCCTATATCATCAAGATTTGGACACTTCGATATTTGAATCAAAGAATCCTTAAAAATCTCCTAGTCAAAATCAGTACAAAACGCCCTCCCAAATCCATGTATGATCAATTTTTGGGTGACAAATCCATATATACTGTACCATTCTAAGAAGCACGGATTTGGAAACGTAATTCGAATACGATACAATATGGGCACGCCGAAGCATTATAATAAAAAGAAAATAAAATACTAATGTATTTTATCTTAATCCTAAATTGTCCCAATTTCATTTTCTTAAACATCACTAACATCAGCTTCTTCATTATCATTAAAAATAACATCACTCAACTCTGATTCATCCAATAACAGGTTAGCAATCTCAAGCAGCCTAATACTTTCAAGAGTATTAAATGAATCTCTGACTATCCAACATTTTGGATTCTCCTTCTAAATAAAGATTTAATTTTCCTAATAAAAGACACAAATTTCTATAAATAAAAAATAATTCATTAAATATATATTGGAGTTTGATTATATTAATGTATAATTTATTAACGTAGTTTAACATGTATTAAACTATTATCTATTTCCAATAATAAAATTATATTTGTCAACTATTAACACAGTTTTACATATATTAAAATTTTAGTACTATTGTGTATTTTAAATAAAAAACTCAAGTTGTCAATTAAATTAAAATTCTAGGTGTATTTTCAATAAATATTATCCATTTTCAATAAGTTATTGATAATAATAATAGTTATCTATTATGTAAAAACACTTTGTATATAATAATGAATTTTAAAAGAGTTTAAAACCAATAAAATTCTTCTTCAGAATATAAGAAATATTTGATACGTATCGGAACTTTTAAAAAAATAAAAATAACAAAATAAGTAAAAAACACATATCCAGTACGTATCGATACTGGTATGTAACGAGTTTAAAAGTATTCGTACTTCTTAAGTACCATTAACTATATCAGGTTGACTACTTATTTGTAAATTTAGGATAAAGAGCAATTTTTCCTTTATATTAGTATTAACTCACTAAAGATGCAAATTAGTTGTTCGCTCTTAATTTTAAGTACGATTTTTTAAATTAGTTTTTTAGTTTATGATTAATTAACAACTCCACCTATAGTTGATCGCAAGATTAATTAGAGGATTGCGATAAGTTGAAATACCCCTACTAATCATGCATTGTACCGAAATCCAATTGTCATGAAGTTGGGGTAAACAGAGAACCCACACCATAGCCTTGCATAGAAGAGGTGAAATGAATAGTCATTGATTTAGGTTTATAATACGAGCTTGTAGAAGATAAACAATTCAAGAATATGAGACTTTCTTAGGAAAAAAATTATTAGAACTTATGCTCCACACGCATGTCTGTCTAAAAAAGTTAACATATAAGTAAATAAGTCAGTCTTTAAAATAAATAACTTTTTCCTGATCACGGTGGAAATAAACTACTTATTTTGAAAGCAAAGTGAGTTACTTTCAAATAAGTAATGATTTACTTCAAGCAAGAAAAAGGTAAGTCATTCAAACTACTTTGAAGAAAAAGTTACTTAAAACTGTAACTTTTTATAAAGCTTAGCCAAACAATACAACAAACAATGATTTTGGAAAAACATGAATGGGTAGATTCAAACAATCTTTAGCAAAAATATGATCATTTTTGGAGATAAAATGCTTCTGGAAAAGTCATTCAAAATACAGAAGGGTAACTGAAAAGTTTGTCTACGATTTCATGATTAGGATACAAGGTTGACAATTACCAAAATGAAACGTGGTGGAATAAGAAGGTTCAGGTGACAGTTAAGACTGAGAGACTGTTATAACAGCTTACCAAAATATAAAAATGCTGTGGCTTTTGAAACATATATGGTAAAAAAACTAAAAATAGAAAAAGTAACTTGAAGCAGACTAGATTAATTCCTAAAACTTGAGAGTCCAGGTCAGATTGGCACATCAAAGTAGTTAGTCTACAGCTCTTTCCTTCACTAATAGAACAATTAAATACATTGAGATAAGCAAGTTGCATAGATAAATAGAGCTTGAATATTTGAAATTTTTGCATGCACAACCTCAACTGATTAATTGGTTTCAACAATATGACAAGGAAAAAAAGAAGAAAGAAGAGATTTAAAGTAAAAGTTTACATTCTTACACCAGCTCATTTATCAATTAACTTAATATAAAACCTGAGAGAGAGCTGTAAATTAAAAACTTAAATCAAAACGCACAATCTTTAGATAAAGTAAACTATAGATTATTATGAGAGTACAAATTCATATTCTCCTACCTGCATATTTTATGGATATATTATGAACATAATTAATTTCAAATTGTGTTATGGTACCAATGTTTTACCTGATTCAGAACTTGCCCGTGAATAGAGGCCACGTAATGCACATTTAGCATAAGCCATTAGCCGTACTCGTAGAGGAGCTTCCAACTTGCTGACCAAAGACCTTAGCAGTCCACTGAATAGAGAGAAGAAAACAAGGAATAATAAAACAAAGTCGCATTTCTTTCACGAAAGTTGAGAAAAGCTAATCATTCTTACTCAGTTCGTAATACTGTAAGAAAGTCAGGTGGCAATGACTCCATAAACGAAGATATGTCCTCCATTTTTAGAGACTTTAATTCCTGCTTGAGATATTTTCTCTCTTCAGGTGACATTCCTCTCCCAAGTGCAGATTTACTGATAAATCATTTGAATAAAACTAGACATTAGTTCCAGATACACTAAATATCAGCAAATTTGGCATTGTAAAAGGAAAAAATATTCTATGGTGCTACAGTGTCAACGTCTTATAAAATTTAGTTGACCATATTTTCAGTAGTTCATTAATAAATCAAATGAAGCTTCCAATAGTTCTTGCAACATATTCCAAGTCCCATTTTCATTCTTATTGAACCCTGCCTTTTACAAATTATTTAAGTTCCTTCTTTAAGCAACTAAGAATATTCTATTCTAAAATAAACCTGCCACTGTTATCCTTCTTATTCTATTACAAGCATATGTAACCATTTCAATGGTTACGCAAAGACACGGGCCAGTCAATACAGTCATAGAGGAAAATCTGCAGGTAGTTCTCCAGGAAAATATCTATATGTTTTTCAGCAAAAATTTACGATTTATTTTTTCTTACTTAGGGTCATTCTATTTCCATGGTATCTAAGGCTCCCAATGCACTTTGGAGTCATCAACTCTTGAACTAATATTATTATTCTAGTATGAAAATCGAAGAATACAATGGTTTTGGCTCAGGTCATAACAAACTTTAATAGGTTCTCTAGACAACACTCCAGGTGTCAAAATCCTTTTCAGAAACTGGAGTAGCAAAAGTAACATTTCAAACAAAGAGTCATCAATTAGCCATGTCAACAATATAAATATACAGCTCCATAATTTCAAACATAAGATAATTTCAAACAGAAGAATCAGTAGCCAAGATTGACTAGGAGCTTGAAGATCAGGTAGAAAACCTAGAAAATGATTGCAACCCTCTCAACGCTAAGAAAATTTTTTCTGGTGAAAACGGAGTGGTTGAGCCAGCAATCTGAGATCATTGAGGTCTTGGTTCCTCAGTCCCATACTTCTTCCTTTCTGGCTCTTATTACCAATGTGATAAAATTTCTGTAGTATATTCATTATATCTTCATTTTTTATGCTTCAGATCTAGAGAGACAGATTCCAATATTAGTATCTCAAAATAGCATTCAAGGGGAAGTGGCTTGATTACTGGTTATTAGGAATATGTCCAGTCCATAGCATAATAAAAAACGAAACCCAATTATGAGCTTGGTATGGAGTATAAAATACCACAGGAGGAAGAAAATAAAGGGGAATGTCATGGAAACTTTTATTTTGGTTTGTAATGGACTTAAACCTATGTGAATAAAGAAATACACAAGTCGATAACCTTGCCACTGATAGACAATCACCTGTTAACTGTTCTTCCTGTGAATATGACAGGGAAGTATCTAGAGTACTTCCCAACACCAAAGTTTTCACCCAGTTGCTGTATTTTTTTCGAATCCATTAGAACCATGGCCTTCCAGAGTTGGCAATAGGACTGTCTGAAACCTTCATCCAGCTGTCTATAGATCCCATGATCTAGAAGAACTACATTTATTTACGTATTGCAATAAGAAAAAAACATTAGATGTTTTCTTCTCCATAAAAAGGAACATAACACTAAAGTATCAACCTATCATACCTAAAGAAAAGCCACCCGGTCCCTCTGGAGAAACAAATATATTACCAGGATGTGGATCCCCGTGCACGTAACCATAGACAAATATCATCTCAGCAAAGACTTCCACTAGGGCTTTTGCCACCTAAGCAGAGTGGAAGAAAGGAATAATGAGAAATGATCCTGTAGCGGAACAATTTCTTGATTTAAGAGTTTAAACTATCTACTCCGTTTTAGAGAATCAAAATTGTGCCATCTTAGCCAGAATTACAAAAAAGTATAGTATCGTATCACTTACAATAATTACATTGTTTCCAAGTAGATAAACAAACCTCAAGTGGACTAATTCCCATTCGCCTTAGATAATCCAAATCATCAACCTGAAAGCTAAGGAATTTCCATTTAATAGCACAAAAGCCTAACGTCAAGCAAATCATCACCGTTAAAGTATCAATATTTATGCGTAAAAATTTACTAGCATGTACCGAAAAATAAAAGAAAATAAAAGGTTACACCTGACAACTCTCAAGGAAATCATAACTAAACAAACACTGATAGATGATTCACCAAACTTAAAATCCAGTTGAAAGAAATTTATCCCTGATTTCCATTCTTTTGTGGTAAAAGCTATATCAGTAAGTTTATAACACAAAACTAAAGCAAAATTTGTTTCTTCATATAGAAAGAACTATCAAGTGGACTATATGGTTATGGCCACACGTTCCCTGATATCATAATGTAAATCTATGCTTGCACACGCTAATTGCAGAATCCTGAAATAGTTGATTCAATGACCACGATGATGTGAGTCGCAAAAAAATGGGTAACGTATACCGTGATGATCAGATGCCATTTACAGGCGACCAATTAAAGAACTATCATGTTTCACACGGAAGTGTAGCAATTGAAAGGAAAAGCCTTCTATGTATAGATGAATCAATGCTTAGAAATGTCTGTTGAGTGTCGAGAAACTGAACATTTCATAATTTGTTGGTGATATGTGTACTTTTACATTTCTTCATAAATTTCTTTACCTTCTAATGTCATTTATTCATGGTTGTGAAACACATGATAGAGATTTTAATTCATTAATATATTATATAAAGAATGATGACTGAACCTTGTCAATAAAATGTTGCATACTAGAGAGCATTAAACCAAAAACTACAGAAAGCTGGATATTTCTGAAATATAGTGAAATAGTCAAGCCATTAGTGCAATATGAAGTCTTCTATCATGTAATCAATAGACTGACTTTGATTTGGCTAATGATATGCATAAATCAGCTAATGATGCCAAAGAAGAAAAACCTTCATACAGCTTTCGTCCCTGCTTGACAAGGTAAAATATTGCTAAGAGGAAGAGGCAGATTTTGTATACTTCTACTTTATATGCATAGGAATTTTGGATAGTGAGGTAAGGTAAAGAGCAATCCACGGATGGAGCTACATTTGGGCAAGAGGGGGCAGTGGTGTAACACCCCAAAAATTTAAGAATAAAATTATTTGTTCTATATATTTTATTTTATGATTTTGAAAGTTGAGGGACTAAAATAAAGTTTTAAATTCTTATATTTTAAATGGGCCAAATATTTAACTTTTTATAGAGTGACCAAAAGTATATCAACATTGGGCTCATTTTGTAGCTCGCATCAAATAACGTAGATTGGGCTCGAGAAAATGTAAGTTTAGATGAGTTAAGCCCAAGATTTTTCAATTCAAAGAAGCATGATTAATATGTATTATTTTATTACTTAATAATGGTCCTTTTAGGATAATTAGCAAAATAGTATAATATTTAATTTCATAATCACGTTATCTTTAAAATAAAGGGATTAACCATTCTGTTATTCCATTCTAGTTTTGCACGTGTATAGTAATATTATATTATACTCTAACTTTGAATGTCACTTCACCTATATGATATATACATACAC